GACGGTTAGAATAGTAAAATAACGATCAAAAAATTAATCTTTTGAGCCAAAATATCACTTCCAAATAGGCTATAAATGTAAAAGCAACTTTGAAACAAATAATAATGATGTCACAAAGAAACAATGAAACAAATAATAATAATAATGTCACAAAGAAACATTCTATATGACAACTGTGCACAGTTGGGGACTAGAAACTCAATTTCAAACAGCATTGATGATTTGTTGAAACAAAAGGGAAAGTTGCTACATTCTATAAGACGCGTGCAGTCACATGCTTTGCAAATTAGCAGAGCATATATTAAAAAAAAAAAAAAAAAAAAATTTAATAAAAGAGAACTTTAATATAAACGATTGTCTATAACTTTATTTAGGCATTGTTTGAGCCCCATTTTGGAGAAAAAAATATGTTTTTGAATGTGATTTTTTTGAGAATGTGTGATTAAAAAATATGAAATTTTTTACTTATGTGTAAAATCATTTTACTGAAAAATGTATGATTGAAAATGAGTTACTGCAAAAGGAAAAAACCTAGTGTACAGGGGTATTTTTACAGATGTTTTAGAGGACCACTCACTGTGTAGTGGGCCCCACATATATTTTTAAAAAAATATCACGTGGGCCTCACGTATTGTGTGTGCTCTGGCAAGCCCCTGTGAAACAGGGGCCTGCAAGCCTAACAGGGCTTTTGGAAAAATGGAGCTCAAACAAGGATTTGATGATGATCATAGGTTATAAACAATTATCACATATTAGTTGCCATTTATAATGAAGTAAGATTAACAATCGGGGTGGAACTGGGGTGACAAAAAATTTAGCCCCCGTTTGAACTTCATTAAATTTCATTGCATTACATTTCATTTTTCTCTTTTATATTTTCAATAACACAATCTTTCAATAAATAATATTATACGTTGTTTCGCGCGGGTTAACTCGCTAACAATTAAAGGGGATCAGACGATTGTGTAAGGGACGAAACCTCTTGAGACAAAGTCCCAAAAAGGGGTGTTCTTTTATTGGCGATGAACTTTACAATTGGAAACGAAAAACAACGTGCCTCCAAGGGGCGCAAGCACACGAGTTACAGAAAGGAAAGTACTTAAGTCTAAAAGCTAAAGAAATGAAAATTACATATTCTCTTGTTCGAGAGTTTTGGATTCGGTCCTTTGCTTCTACGCCTTTTCTCCCTTTTATACCTCATAGACGATCTCTTTGTGATTAACTACTCTGAAAACTGCTTGATCGTCCTATAACTACCCACTTTCTTTGTAGTGGTCATTTTGTCATGAAACCGCCTTTTAACTGCTGCCATTATCTTTCATCGTCCAACTGCCTTCGATTGACTTCCTTGAGTTGTGGAACGTGATAAGGCTACTTTAACAACTGCCTTAATAATTGCATTCCTTGATAATTACGATGCGTTATGTTTGTTGACACCTTGGGCGACTTGAAAGTTTGGGCGAGAGTAGAATAACAGCTCTGAGCGACCGTATGACACCCGTTCGTTCAGATTCTGAGCGACTTGCAAACTTGGGCGATGGCATTACCGCATTCTTGGGCCTCTTGTTTGGGCCTTCACCTTGACTCGTTTGATTGGACTTCATTCTTTGGGCCGTCTGTTTTGGGGATTCTCCAATTGGGCTTTACTCCTTGGGTTGTTCGACTTGGGCTGAATTTTTATGTGTCAACATACGTAAATCGAACAATTTTTCTTCTTTTTCAACCACTCATTTTTAAAAAAAATATTATTTCACCCATTTTTATTTCTAGAAAATGGGGGCCAAATGGGGTTTATAGTGAGTTGATACATTGAAAAAATAATTTCATTAAGAGAAAAAAAGAATTTTTATTAAATTTTTGTTTTACTTTTAAAAAAAAATTAGGCTTGGAGGGCAAAGTCTGCCCCCTCGCAACGCCCCTGTTAATTACTCTCCACTACTTTTATGGTTAGCATTTATCCGAAGGAAAATTTTTTATCGAATAACAAATCAATAGACTCTTGTGGGACTGTTACCAATTCTGTTACTGATTGATTCTATCATTGCACTTGAACTTAAATTTGATTTAATAACTTATATTTCAAAATTTACTTAGTTTTTAAAAGCAATAATAATTATTAATTATCTTAAAGGTGTTGTTTAACATAAATATAAAAATGTAAAAATATAATGCGAAATCAAATGTTTATCATCTATTCACAATTAGGCTATTGAAAAATGATTTTTCGTTGATACTTTATCAAATTAATGTATATTAACGGTAATTAAAGAGTTTATGGGTTATTAGAAAATGACTTTTCATTTAGCCACTGTTGGTATCCCATTACTTGGCCATTAAAATTAAAAAAATATAATCATTATCCATCACATCAAGTCACCGTATTTGAATTTCTATCTCTTGTGTGGAGTTCGTAACGACTATATTTTTCATTCTCATTTTTACATTAATGGGAAACAAAATGTTTACAAGCGAATGTTAATTAACAGAATTCCTTAACTATTACGTCTTATTTTCAATGAAATCTTTTAAGAATGCAATATTAAGTTTAAAAATATTTGTATATATAATTTCATGGTTGTTATAAATTCTATATATTAATATTATCTGACTTGATAGTCTATGCCATTTCATATTATTTATATATATAGCATCATTATAATTTTTATTTGTTTTTATATAAATTTTTATTAATCATATACTAATAATTAATAATAATAGTGTTTATTGGAAATTAATTGAATTCATTTAAAAAATGAATAATATTAATTTTAAAAATAATTGAATTTAGTTGAAATGAATTTAATTTTAAAGATATTATTGACCTTAAATATAAAAATGTAAGAGTAAAACGAAAAATTAAAGATATAAGGATAAATGAGGGTACAGTGAACCTATAGCTAAAGTAAAGATAAAATTGAGAATCAAAAATTTATCCTCAATCATCACCTTTAATATATTCTACAAAATTTGTTAAATGTTATTTTGTCATTACGAATTAATTTTACCTCTAAAGTTGCGCAATAACATCTCCGTAGAAAATGCAAATGCAATTGAATAGTGATGGTTGATCATGCTTCGCACAGGCTAGTTACTTTATTATCATCAATACGAATAAAAAGATCCAACATCATTGAGAACCAAAGCTGAAAAGAAGGTTTACAAGATTTTTTGGTTTTCTATTCTCCCTTCGTTCCACAAAGATAAGCTTGCTTTTTTTTATTTTCGTCTTTCCCAAATTATATGTAATTTATAGTATATATAATTTTTTAATTTTTAATATACTCAAGGGGACACCAAATGATTGCAGAGCCGTATGAGTTAGAAAACTCTGTTTTATATCTTCTAGACGCAAATGTTCAATTTTCATGAGATCTTCCGAACTGTTATTCAAAAGGTCCAATATATATAAATATATCTTGTTGTCAACAAATATGAAATACTCTTATTTAAATCATTATTTAATGTAAGATGTATTAGAAAAAATGCAAGAAAAAAAATGATATTTTAAACTATATTAAGAACATTTTTTTTTTAATCTATTTGAAAATAGAAACAAGCCTATCTTCATGAGATGAAGTCTATAAAAACTAGCTAACAAATCCGTGAAACAATAATTCTAAGGGCCCGGATGTAACTTTGACGTTTATATATATATTTTCAAAAGGATTTTCCAAGTTCTTTGGATGGTTTGGCTATATACTATTCCTCCAAGATATAAGCATAAATCTCAAATCCAAATTGTAGCCTAGAATACCTCTAAAGTTTTGTATACTATCTTGGTAGAAAATGACATCAACACACGAATGTCGTCTGCAAAAAACAAACACATGGAGAGGCAAAGCTAAACAACTGTTTTAGCCCCTGTTTGACAACCATTATTTCTAAACTCTTTCATTCTCATACTCATTTTCAACCATACATTTACATTATTTTGTACGTAAATTCAAAACTTTTCCTTACTTTTTAACCACATTCTTCAAAAAATCACTCTATTTTCTCAAAATAATGGCCATCAAATAGGGGCTTAATAATGCATCATAAATTGTGATGAAACTTACAAGCAGCAAAATGCACAAAAAGCAGTAAAAAAAACCCACTTTTTCGCCTATAATTATTTCATGTAAATTCTAGTTCACGATACTCGACTAATAACAGTGGTGTATCTATAACCAATAAGCACAATGTCATACCATACAGAGAGAATAGAAAGCGAAGAGATCGCTACCATCTTAGTTGCATAGTGTTGGTTCTCACATTTTCAATAATACCACATATATGCGACCTTGTCATCATGAGATTCTAATTCTACAACACACTCAATGTTAAAATGCATTGGCAACTTCCAGAATCGCTATATGATTGAATAATGTCTTAATCAACCAGCTCGATTTGGATTATTTAATCACTATGATCAGAAAAAAATGTGATGTTTGATTAACACAATAATAAGCTCAAACAATCTAAACTAAATGGAGCCTAAATGGTTTAGCATATCTTAAAAGAAAGTATAAATACTTTACCATTATATACAAGGATGCAGTAAGAATATCGGACCTGGTGTCTTCCATTAAGATACACAGAAATGTAACCACTGTTTTTAACATAAAGACAGGAATAAATGCTGATTTTCTAGTTTCCTACCCTATTATGACTTTTATCGTATTAGAGGGAGATCTTTTTATTGAGAACATTAATCCAATAAATTAGGTGTAGAGATATGAAACAAAGGATATACTGCTATGGAAGAGTTGGTTCCCATATGTGGATATTTTTTCCACTTCACTCAATAAATAAAAAATTATTTGAAACATTTGTATCTTGTTCCATGTAATTTTAGGTCAAGCTCCTCGAGATATAGCATTTTCACATAATGTAAAAGCAGTCAGCCTAGCTACATGTCGAACCAGTCACTTGTGAAATGTTAAACAAGTTGTGTCATGGAACACCAGCTTAGCTACATTTTAAACCAGTCGTGCGTGTGATATTAACAAGTTCTATCATGGCACACCAGCAAAGATATATATTGATAACATGTAAGTATTGATGTAAAATAAAACGGAGAGAAAATTTACATCCTAGTGACTTTCTGGACTCAACCGGTATGAAACAGCAGTTGATTGTATGGCCCCAAATTTTACAGGCGTTTAATACTCAAATTCATTAAGATTACCAAAACACACAAGGATGTGAGTCGACCAAACTGAGGCATTAAAACATGTGAACGAATATATATGTCGATAAATATTGATTTTCCTTGTTAACTGACCTTTTGATCCTGCAAGCCCATGGTCTTTTGAGTTAACAAGAGCTTTAAAAACTAAGGTTGGTGAGAAGAGGAATGCTCGTGGTGGCCATTGACAGGGGAAGTAACCACAGGTATATCGAGACTGCTTCTTTCTGTATCAGGGGAAACCTCTCTTACATCAGCTATTGTTGCCTCTGTCGTCTGAATATCACTCCATTCACTCTCTGCAGGTTCAGGTAATGCCTTTGTAACACTCAGACATGCTTTGTCCACATTCTCTTCTGATGGATTCACATGCTTTGTCCTTGGTAAGTCACCACCCATGCCCGAGCAAGACTCGGTCTTCTCCTCGATGACTTGCCTGGTTTCAACCTGCTGCCTGTCAGCAGGAAAACAGACATTGTCTTAAAACATATACAATAAAAAGAAAGCCAACAAATACTGCATTTATTTTCATCATCGCTTCCATAGATCAGTTTTGTTATTTTATCCAGGTCCCAAAAGAGGAACAAGATGAGCGAGAACAGTGCATAGAGAAACAGTTCAAACTAAATATACGACTTTTAATTTAATAAGATTATCTAAGTACTCAAATATTTTGTATTTTGTTATTTGCTAAAAAAAAAAAAAAAGGGTTTTAATTACTCTGTTTCAAACTTGTTCTTGATCAACATCAGAACTACAACCTTTTCTGGTTTGGCAACAATTTTGGCTGACATCTAAACAGAGTCAAGTTTGCTAATCTTCTAATAGGTTTTTAATATCACAAAGATTTGCAAATACTCTGTTTCAAACTTGTTCTTGATCAACATCAGAACTACAACCTTTTCTGGTTTGGCAACAATTTTGGCAGACATCTAAACAGAGTCAAGTTTGCTAATCTTCTAATAGGTTTTTAATATCACAAAGATTTGCAAAATTAGGCAGGCAAACCATCTAATTATCAAGATTTTATATAGATTAATATAAACCTTTTTAGCTGCTCTTGTAGCTTATCTATGTACTCAAGCAGTTCCAGCTTCTCCTTAGCAGCAGCTGCTTCTCTTTCCATTGCTTCCTTTATTTTAGCTCCAGCATCACCCTCTGTAACTCTGACCTTCTCTTCTGCTCGAACAACAGCTCCTTCCAATATTACAACACGTTCTCTAGCTTTTCCAAGCTCAGTACGCCACAAATGTGCTTCCTGAAGGGCGGAATCTCTCTGTTTTATCAATTGATCTCTTTCCCTGCTTAGAGTCGTAATATTTTCTTCCAATTCTCTCAACTATAAAGTAAATGACACATTATCAACCAAAAATAAAACTCATAACCAAGCTTACAATATACAACAAAATGGTACAAATGGTGAGAATAAACTATACCTTCAATGTAGATGACTCGAGACGTTTCTCTGAGTCTCTTGTTAAGCGCTCAATCTCAACGCATGCAATTCTCCTTTGCTCATCCATGGTATGAGCAGCAGATGCTGCAGCTTCAGCAGCTTCAGCGGTTTCAGACAGTTTCTCTGATATCTCTTTTATTGTTGAATCCCTAGCACGAAGGTCCCTTGACAAATTTTGGAGCTCTTCATCCTTCACCCTTAGTGTTTCCTGCAGCATTGTTGAAGTAACTATTTAAGCCACAAAAGATGACATTGCATCAACTAAACCAAAGTAGTTAGATTTAGACTAAGTTGTACATATGAACCACGTGTTGAAATTGAGTTGGGAAGTCTAAATGCCCATCATCCAAGATACTGGAAGTTTTAATTCATAGAAAATTTTAATGGTATAAAATGCAGGCTCATTGGTAGGCCCCAGATGCTTAGCATATGCTTTCATGATTTTTTGTGGTACAGAGATATGATTTCAGTGCACTTTTTTGTTCCAGTAACAACTAATTGATACACTTAAGGGGGAATAACATAGGGGATCACCATACTTATCCCCTGGGTTTATTTGGGACACTGAACTACAATTGATTATTTCCTTTGCTTGACTTCCCAACTTGCCTTTATGGATCCAAAGTGTTAGGCACAATTGTCTAATTCCTTCCGTTTCAATCAGTTTGACTAACATACATGCTGATGCTGTAGTACTATTGGCAAAAAGTACGCTGATGCAGACCTCATCATAAAACCATTGCACAATTAATATGATATGGCATTATATGTAGTCGAAATAAAAAAATTATAAAATCCAAATACTAAAAAAGGAGAGTTAAAAAAAGGAGACCAAAAACATTAAAAACCTTATATAATGAGAAAAAAGAAGTAAAAAATGTGATATGCATCTCACAATATTCATTTGTAATTAAGATGGCGTGATGCTCCTGCTTGAATACAATGATAAAACTAAATTTTCATGTATACAGTTGACACCGAGTTAAGATGGAATTCCATGTATATGATGATAAAGAAAGCATTGGTTCCTAGAGGAAACTTTAATATGTTACACAGCATGCAAATGTTTAATCTCTATAGATCTTTTTTATTTGTGCAAGAGATAACTTAATCCTGTGCCTTTCTACAAACTATTATGCAACAAATTTATGTTTGTTACTAGGAATCCTATTTATATGTTGCTACCTAATTTGATTTTATGAAATTTTACCTTCTGATTAATAGAAACGTAGATTGTTTCCACGGTAAAGGCTCCCCCTTCGTCTTCTTTCCTTTTTGGTGGAAATGTAACATCTTGATAGAGAATGATTCAATTCAAGGACTGACTTCAATGTATAATATAAATAGCAGTTTGTTCTAGTCTTACGTGAATATTAGAGGAGAAGAAAATTTAATTAGAGGAAAGGCTTAGCACAAGACCTTTCCTGCACCTGACTCGTTGTACTAACTGTAACGACCCGAGCTCTTTGCCCAAATTGTTATATCATGCATACTGCCCGCTTTGGGAGGTCCAAACCCATATTATCTCCTTACGAATTTCTATCTCGTCCCCCAAGATTCAAAACACACGGTCTTTGCCGCATGGGAGACTTAAACTAAATCCCGATACCAATTAGGCACGAGTAAAGGTCTTAGGCTCGAATGTTAGAGAACTTAACGGAAATCTGTAAGGGAGTAAGATAGGTTCACGCTTTTCCAAAGCGAACAATATGAACTATATAACAGCTTGGGCACGAGGCTCGGATTGTCATGCTAAATTGTGTCTATAACAATATAATGGGCAAAAATTGGCAAATTTGTTGCTATAAAAGGGAAAAAAAAAGGAAAAAAAGCACAAATGCTATGATAGAATAGCATAAATACTATGACATGTTTCTCTTTGTGGCTATATACATCCTTGCATAGATCCTCAAATTCCTTTATATTATCAAGTTCATTAACTCCAAAAATGCATTCATACTTTTAGGTAGATTTAAGAAATCTAAGTGTTTGTTTTCTAGATGCACCACTTCTAGCTTATACTTGGTTTAGAAACAATATTGAAGAAGAAAAGTGAGGTGTATAATTTAAAGCGGTGTAAACACTCAATGAGAATACCATATTCTTGTTTAGACGACTCAATTTACTAATAGCTTCAAAAATTCATTTAGTTTAGATAAGAAAGATTTGGAGGACAGAAGAGCCTCAACGGAAGGTTGTCACATTGACATTGCGAGTCTAGAAGGATTTGACTGAATATGTAGATAGATTGCAAATGTACAAAAGTGATGAGGATGCTCAAGAGTCACATGCCAGCTCAAGAGTCACACGCCGCTAGCAGTGATGGAAGGTAGAAATTGGTGCTAAGATAAACTAAACTAAGGATAGAAAGTCGGTCATAAAAATTCAAAATGAAGACAAAATTAACCTTTTTCCAGTGGCGCAGCTTGGTGATTAATCAGTGTAATAAATCGTTATTATCACCTCTTAACACAGGGATGCTTCATCTTTAAATTTTTTCCACTGAGGTTAAAAAACTTGTAGTATTTTTAGTCATTATTTTTTTTTATGACCGTGGGTGTCCAGCCCAAGTTATACGCACTTTGACTAATCTCACGAGCCCCTGAAATTTACAGTCGGATACTCATCTCAATAACCCTAAGGGAACTTGAACTGGTGATCATTGGAGACCTAAGATTCGACACTGAGCTACCCCTAGTATTTTTAGTCATTATTTAATCTCATTTTTTACTGTCATTGGAACTTTCTTATAACTTTATAAGAATCAAGGTACTTTCTTCTTTTTTAGCCCCTATTTGGGGGGATTAAAATCAAATATTTTGTAAATTTTGATAAAAATTGATGAAATGTGTGGTTGAAAAGTTATGGATCTCACAAAATGTCTGATTAAAACTAGTTAATTTTGACTTAAATTAAAATTTGAATTTGAATTTGAATTTTTACCAAACTTGAGCTTAACTTCATTAAGCTGATCAGCACAATACCCTCCTACTTATTGGTCAGACTGTCGAAAACCATCTACATTTTAAAAATAGTGAAAAAGTCCTCGTTTAAAACGTTTAGTGTGAAATACCCCAACCATCCACTTTCTGAATAAAAATTTATGAAATGACGAATATACCCTCTCATTTAAATAAAACAAAAAGAAAAGAAACAACGCACTTTGACTAATCTCACGAGCCCCTGAAATTTACAGTCGGATACTCATCTCAATAACCCTAAGGGAACTTGAACTGGTGATCATTGGAGACCTAAGATTCGACACTGAGCTACCCCTAGTATTTTTAGTCATTATTTAATCTCATTTTTTACTGTCATTGGAACTTTCTTATAACTTTATAAGAATCAAGGTACTTTCTTCTTTTTTAGCCCCTATTTGGGGGGATTAAAATCAAATATTTTGTAAATTTTGATAAAAATTGATGAAATGTGTGGTTGAAAAGTTATGGATCTCACAAAATGTCTGATTAAAACTAGTTAATTTTGACTTAAATTAAAATTTGAATTTGAATTTGAATTTTTACCAAACTTGAGCTTAACTTCATTAAGCTGATCAGCACAATACCCTCCTACTTATTGGTCAGACTGTCGAAAACCATCTACATTTTAAAAATAGTGAAAAAGTCCTCGTTTAAAACGTTTAGTGTGAAATACCCCAACCATCCACTTTCTGAATAAAAATTTATGAAATGACGAATATACCCTCTCATTTAAATAAAACAAAAAGAAAAGAAACAAAATAATAATAATAATAATAATAATAATAATAATAATAATAATAATAATAATTACAACCATAGTCCCAGATTTTTCAAAAAGATACATAAAAATCCCAAATAAATAATTAAAAAAAAAACAATTCCTCTTCATTCTTCCTCTCCAACCACCACCATTCACCGTCGCCATCGCCATCCTTACAGTGTCTGGTTCTCCATTTTTATTTTTCAATCTGCACTCTCTGGTTCTCCTTTTCTATTTAAAATTATTATAGCAATAATTTATGTCCCCAAACCCCTAACTCCCTCACCCACCATTCCCATTAGAGCAATTGTTTATCTCTTTTCCTTTAAACCTCTAACCCCTTCACCCACCAAACCCCCAAATCCCAAAGCCCACCAAAATGCTATATATCTAATAAGGGCCACTACTTCGACATTGGCGACACCTTCCTCCATGAGAGTGCCACTGGTCATGATCTCAATATGCTCGCAGCTACCACCATAGTGTTAATTGAGGAGGTATTACTTTGATTTTATTGATTTTGATTCGTTTGGTAGTGATTTGAGGTTCTTGAGGTCTGCTCTGGGTGCTATGAAATTGTATGGGCTTTTGCACCTCATTTCCACTGATGGTTACTCTTTTGGTGGACACCGACCTCAACAGTGAGTTAAAATACTTGTGTAAATGATTCGATAAGTTTTTTGAACTCCCATTAACAAGGAACATAAAATTCTTAAGGTGAATTTGCACAGAAAAATTCTGACCATGAATATACATTGATGCTTGAATGTTGGCTCTGTAAATGCTTCTAGGAGGATGAGGAACCGGTTGCATTTTGATAAGCTTGCGTTTGATGAGCAAAAGAGGTTGATGGCTGCAGGAGCTGAATTGGGCTTTGTATTTTGGGTTTTTGATCTTGATTTAAGGTTTCATTGCGGCGACGATAGCGACAGGAGGTGGTAGCATTAGTGGTGGCAACGATGGTGAATGGTGATTGCTGGAGAAAATGATGAGAAGGGTAAATTTTATTTTATTATTATTATTATTATCATTATTTTTTTTTTGCTTTGATTTTCTAATTTTTTATTTGGGACTTATTTTACTTATTTTAAATTTTAGAAAATTTTACCTCCATGATTGTAATTAATTTTTTATTTGTTTCTTTTCTTTTTCTATTTGATTGGCAGGGTATATTTGTCATTTCATAAATTTTTATCGAGAAAATGAATGGTAGGGGGTATTCCACACTAAACATTTCAAACATGGACGTTTTCTGCTATTTCCAAAAGGTAGGGGGATTTTCGATAGTTTGGCCAATATGTAGAGGGTATTATGCTGTTTACCCTTTCATTAACCTACAAGGTATATTAAGTTAACACACTGAATACTAGTCAATGAGACACATTCTTCTCCCATGTTATCCTTTGAATACAGACTCGAATAATTTTACATGTTGTCGAGACTTAGCACATCCAAACCATCCCAAGTTATGTGTGGTGCTAGGGGCCGAGATGAGTTCTATATTATTTATACTCTAGAGACTCGGAGCAGACTAGCTATATAAGCATGGACCAAATCTTGCTTAGACCATAGTAGAAACCAACTCAATGGATTAGAAGGTTGGGTCAACCAGGCCAGCGCATTTACGTTACTAATGACTTCTAGACCAAATACGACTATACCAGTTTCCATTAATATAATTGAACAACATTAACCATTTCAAACCCTTGATTCAGTATCTTCTTAGTTTATCTGACTCCCCTAAAACGATATCCACAAAAAACCCAGCAGGAACAAGAGGTAAATCCAGTCAAACTCAAATGGATTACTAACATATCAAAGCCTTTCATATTGGCCTACATTTTTATGTCATCCATCTTAGCTAAGGCCAGGAAGTCAATTAACTCATCAAGGCCACAAGAAAAGAAGATCAAATTTTAGTGAAAATTGGTTTAAAGAACTCCAAGAAAGACCTTCCCCATCTTAGTGGAGTTGCTCAAGTCCTCAAATGATTTCGCTTTTCCAAATTAACAATGTGAAACCAGCTGATTCAAACAACTGATTCTAGGTTTACCATGACGATTTTTATTAATAGACGTGAACTCGAACCTATGAACTGAGAATTTCCGAAAATATTGAAGAAATCTATGCTTACAAGATTGAAAAGAGAACCCGATTGCAAAACTTATAATGCCAACAAGCTCCACCATTGAATTTTTAACATCACTCCATCAACATAACAATATATTTAGATAAAATGACCTTATTTTCAATTTATCGCCTTCAATGTCTGTTCATGTCTGTAAAAACATTTGCATATTCTGACAACAGATTATTCTAATCTGAACAAATAATTTGGCATTTTCCTTGTTCTTTTCATGATTATTAAGAGCTGATCCAAGAAAATCAAACACATGCTCATCATTTCACAACATAAATCACCTAGGTTTCAGCAAGATTTAGATCAACAGAAATCAAAGTCGACACTGTACCTTGCAAACCCATCACTATCTCTTGCTAAGGTAATTTTCCGTAAAAGAAAGAGAAGTGTTTGAAGCAATACTGAACAAAAATATTAATGATTTTCTCACCTTCATAATTGACAAATCATCCATAGGAGCATCAGGAGTTTTATTTAACATCACTCCCAAGGCATTCCTCATGGAAATCTGCATTGCCGCTTCAATTTCTTTAGAAGCCTCCAGGGCTGTTGAATTAGCAGCAGCAACTACAGTGGCAACTGTTCCTAGTTTTGTGGATCCATTCCCGCTTAAGGTATTCACAGCCTCTTTATGAGCCTTTAGAACCAATTGTGTTGCACTACATTTTGGAAGAGGAACCGTAAATTTTGAAAAAACAAAAAACCAAAATAAATAGTTTCGATACAAGTATGACTAATCCATTATATCTATGCATTTTTTTTTCTGATAGGGAATCATTCGGGACTTGCACATATAGTTCAATACATGATTCGAAATGACAATCAAACAACACAATGCATAATATTCCTTCATTCTGAGCATATGGTTGGAATGTACCAATTTTATTAGAGCATCATGAAAGACTCTTTAAAAGTAAAATGCTCTTTACTTTAAAGAGTCAATCCTTAAAATTAGGCTCAAGCTCTCTAATTTAACTTTTTAAATAGAGTACATTTGGCTCTTCAAATTTGTAGAGCCAAACTCATCTATTTGTATACTATATTAATTGCATTCAATGAATTAAGATTTTCAATCGCCACTTCTTGAATTATTTGAAAAATTAATGTTTTAGCCATTGACATATAGTTCTGAAAAATATATAACATAAAAAAGGAGGGAAAAAACAATAAATTCTTGTTGAGAAAAAGTAAAATGAAGAGTTAAAACTAAAGAACATTAATAGGGATGTAAAAAAATTTAGTCTTTAAATTTAAAGATGCTCTCTATTACAAAGCATCACGTATAGTTTCCTTATTTTTAAATTGCATATTTTTTAATTTTATCTCTTCATTTTACTTTTTTCGAGAAGTATTTATTGTTTTTCCCTCCCTTTATTTAATATATTCTTTTTAAAACGAATCAGGTGCCAATCTTTGAAAATTTTCAAATATCAAGAAGTGGAACATTGAAACTTGCAACTCATTAAATGCAATTCAAAAAGTTATATTGAAGTGTTTGAGTCTAATAGATGCTTATAAAAAATGTCATTTAGTAAGAGACTTTGGGAAATGCTCTTATAGCCACTTAATAGAAATGAACTTGAGTACTTAAGACAGTGAAAAAGTGCCTAATCATGTAGCGAAACAAATTCTCATGCAACGTAAAAAGAAGAAAAGAAAAGAAAAATTAATTACTGAATTGAAGCAAAAAGATGAAGGTATTTAACCTAGGAAAACAATCTAGTCTAAATGTTGCAAGTTCAATTTGACACCTGTAAGCTCCACAAAAAGTGAGAAAAGGATAAAGGAACTGCCAAAAAGTTGGACAAAAGACAATTTAAGATCTCATTCGAATGTTGTCAAGTACTATCACATATAGGAGAACTTTAAACACCATCACAATGTTAGCTTCACATACAACATAGAAAGCAATAAAAAGAGAAGTTGCAAAAGCACATAAGTGCAGGAAAGCATTGAGAACTCACTGTAAAGTTTTTACCCATGCTTTAGCAGCACCAGGAGTTTCTGCACAAAGGAAACAATCTTTTTTCTGTGGCGTTCCAATATCTAAGCAGTAAGTCAATAATCAAAACAGACTTCTCTCACCTCCGAAGAAAGAAAAAAATAAAAGAAAAACAACAAATTTTATTTGATTTAGTTCAAGGTTTTTCAATCCCAGCTTTTCAGAATCCCCTCCACACATCCACACCCCCATCCTCCTCGTTTTTATTATTTCTTATCTGATGATATAAAAATGGAAAGGTAAAGAAACAAAGGAACACGAGAAAAGTAATTTAAACATTCAACATGGATACAGAAACAGCAGCCATCATACTTCGGCAGTCCCCTGAATCAAGAAAAAGAAGAAAAAGACATCAACATAATTATCCCTAATCTTCAGGTAAAATCTAATTCAATGCATGAAAAAATAATAAATTTATTATAGAATGAAAACCAAACTAAAATAAGAATCTTACTGGAAGTTCACAGGAGATATTGTTATAGTACTATTTGCATCAAATACCATGGTTCCTTTCACCGTTGGTTCATTTCTCCGTAACCTATAGACCCCATACATACAGAACCTTTAGTAAAACACCTCAAAGTTGAGACAAAAATCACTAACGACGAAAGAAAGTGTTACTTGCAGTGCCATACTTGTACTCCATTTTCCCAGTTGTCGGATCTAAAATCACCCACCTCTCATTCCATTTTCTCAGCTGTTCAAAAGTATCAAGTAAATAGAGACGCTTGCAAGCAAAATCAAATACAAGAAGTTGGCCAGAACTTCAATGAAGATAAATAATACAGGATTATTTAGGAAAGCTATCGACATAATTATCTGTAATCTTCAAACAGGATCTTATGGTTTTTGAACTGCTGTTCAAAACTTGCAAAACATGTTTGCCCAAACACCCCGGGAAGAAACTAAAGGGTAAGAAAGATGATGACGGGCATAATTTTTCAACCCTTGTGTTAACACATTAATCAAATAAATATCAGACAACCAACGCCTCCCTGGCAAATGTCCCAATATATCTTACTAAGATCTTTGCAACCTTCATTGTTGTCTAAATAAATATCCGAGACTAAAGTTCTATGTTACATAGTTTAAAGCATTCTCAGTCTTTATAAGTTGATTAATGCAACCTCCTAATTAATAACAATATCTTGTTTGGCTCACTCTCAAATGTTATTTATTTCATTTGAAAAGTATTAGCTAATATAAGATCATAAGCTACGAAATAATACACAATAGACTCTCCAATATCAATCTTCTCTCCAAGAAGAGTACTCATATTATACTTAATTAACGGCCCTCTTTTCCTACACTCTATAAAGCTTCGGCTACATAGATTCACCCTCCTGTAACAGGATTGAATCTTAACGCAATCGACTTACCCTATAGGTAGGCACATATGAAACAAATAATAATATTTATGCTATCTCCAATAAAAATTGTAACGATGTAATCCTATTTCCTCTCCTTTTGACCTGGACAATTTTTCTTATTTCCATCATTGAACAGAAAGTTAAAAACACAAAGAATTTTTAACATGTCAACCCTTCAAAATCTATCTTTGTGGGATTTTAACCTAAGATAAAATGCCAAAACCATCTTGCAATGACCAAAAAAAAAAAAAAAAATTAATAATAATAATAAAATAAAAAATAATAAAAAAAATTGGGTCTTATCCTATCAAATTAATAGAAATATTTTCACTTCTAGTTGATGTTCTCATGGCAGTTAGGCGCTTAGTAAGTTGCCAGAGAATACAGCTAGAAGGTTAATGTTACAATACCAATATACCATTATATAGATTTTAACATGTTGAATTGCTGGGAAATTAACCGGTCCATTTATGAACATAAGCAAAGCATTATTAAATTGGCTAAGCCCATACAAATGGAGAAAAATGAGAAATTGAGACAGATCACTAATGCACGAAGTCAATGATCTAGATTTCATCAACCCATGATTTCACAAGAAGAAATAAAAAAAAAAAAAAAAAAAAGCTGGATTAAGAAAATTATAAATTAAAAACCAATGACTTTCGATTAAAATAGCAGGCTTCAGCATTGATTACGAGTTGCAGTATAAATAACTGTAAAATTCCATCAAAGTAATCAGTTAATAGTTCAATTGAGACTGAGGATCATACTCTAACAATTAACACGGGAAGTATAAAATTCGCAAGTCTGATAGCCTAATTGTTTTGTTAGTCCCTAATTTTCACAAAATTATGTGAAATTCGGAATTATAATATCAGATACTTCAAAATCACAAAGAAGGAAAGTATCCATTTTTTACCGTTTCCGATCTTTTGAGAAGAGGGCCTTGCAACAAATTTCTGCCGGAGCTAGACGCCAGCTGTCTTTTGATCTTCTCCAAGCTGTTCTTCGTATCAGCATCTGCCTACAAAATTCAAAGCCCAGAACCATGAAATAAATGAAATTCCTTTAAAATTAATAAATTGAACATATAAAAATTGATTGAACATAAACAGTTAACTGACAAGAGGCGCTCCGTTGGAAGTCATAATAATTGATAAATTTAGGATATTTTTATGAGAAAATGAAGATTTGAGTGGGATTAAAGAGGGTTTTTGTCGTTAAGAAATAGGAGAATCGATTCTGATCTTTTGTTTGGACTTTAGGTTTCGTCGGACTTGCGGTTGGGTGACTTCACACACAAAGAAAAAGAAACGTCGGTATGCACATTAGTTTGACATTGAGTAAATTTAACCAATGCTTAGAGAAGTTTAAACTTGATTACTACTTATTCGTTCATATTTTACGGGTTACTGAATAGTCACTTATCTTTCTATATAGTTACTCATCCACCAATCTTCTCTTCAAATAATTGAACGATTTTTATGGCAATTTTTCGACAATTTTCGACAACCAAAAAATCTAATTTTGATATCATTGGAAAGCCTACAATATCCTCTTCAATTACCACCCAAAATCTCTCTATAACTCCAAGGGATTCGATCGGAAAATTGAATTAAAAGTCGCCCAAAAATTCTGAAAATCTGCCCAAATTTTCAAATTTTTAGGCGACTTTTAAGGCAATTTTTCGACAACTTTCGACCATCAAAACTGTCGAATTTTGATACCGTTGGAAATTCCACAATGTCCTCTTCAATTACCAACCAAAATTTCTCCATAGCTCCAAAGGATTCGATCGGAATAAACCCACAAAATCAGCATTCCGAAAAGGCGAAAAGCTTAACAAAGTTCGAGATGTTGACTTTGTGAATTTATTCTGATCGAATCCTTTGGATTTATGAGGAAATTTTGGGTGGTAATTGAAAAAGATATTGTGAACTTTCTAACGGTATCAAAATTCGACAATTTTGATGGTCGGAAGTTGCCGAAAAATTGCCTTAAAAGTCACCCAAAAATTCTAAAAATCTGCGCAGATTTTTAGAATTTTTGGCTACTTTTAAGGCAATTTTTCGATCGAATCCCTTGGAGTTATAAGAAGATTTTGGGTGGTAATTGAAGAGGACATCGTGGGATTTTCAACGGTATCAAAATTCGACATTCTTGGTGGTCGAAAATTGTCGAAAAGTTGTCGCAAAAGTAGCCCAATTATTTGAAGAGACGCGTGGTAGATGAGTAACTATATAAAAAGATGAGTGAGCATTCAGTAACTTGTGAAAAATGAGTGAGCAAGTAGTAACCAAGTTTAAAATTCAGTAAGTATTGGTTAAATTTACTCGTTTGACATTCATTGGTTAAAAGATGGCAGTGTTGGGCACGGGACGGTGGTAAATTAGGAAGCTTCTCAATGAAGAGCGAAATTCGGAAGTTCGAATCTCCGTGACGGGATATATATATATCGATAAATATAAAATTTATTGATCAAAACTCATTTACAAGTATATCGGACATACCGGACAAATAAGAACAAAGTGAAATATAACAACTTCGGACATTTCTAGGCAAATAAAAAAGATAAAGATGTACAAACAATAAGCACTACAATCTCATAGCGAAAGATTCAAAATGAATCAAAACATACGAACGAAACTAGACATTTGAGTCACCAAAAAAATAAAAAAAAATAGAGGAAGAAGAAGTAAAAGATGGCAATGTTAATGTGAAGATTTAGTGATGTGGGGTGCGGATCAGTGTTGACTAGGGTCGGAAAAATTTCAAAAACCCGACCAAATCAAGTCAAATCGATTTGGGCCAATTTGAACAAAAAAATTCGGTTTGATTTGGTTAATTTTAACCATCAAAAAGTTGAATTGGGCTAGTTCAATTTACTGACATAACTTGTTAATATATATTTTTTTCATTTTAAAATTCATATTTTTAAACTTAAAAACATAAAATCTTTAAAACATAAATATAATTTTTTTCTCTAATAATTTTTTCACCATGTACACTTTTTCTACCAAAATTCCAAATTGCAGAAGAAAAGAAAGAAAAGCAAGGAGATGAATTGTTTATTGTAAATCACAAATTCATATGGTAACACTGTTTTTCATTTTGATGTAATTGTTTGTTGGTAACTATTGGATGATTTTGGAAAAAAATTGACATTTACTATATAGCCAATACGAAATACGCAAGCATAAAAAAAAAAAGTTATATAAACAGGCAAACAAACTTTTTAACCCAAAATAGGTAGGCAATTTTTTAAACTGGAAAAATGTTCAAACAAATTAACCAAATCAAATCGACCCAAAACTATTTAATTTGGTTCAGTTTCAATAGTTAGATTAGGTTAGTTTGGGTTAGACTTTACCCAAATCAACCGATCCAATTTTGATTTCGAGTTGAACTCAAAACCAACCCAATCCAAACCATGTCCATACCTAGTGTTGATCAAGGGATATATGGTTTATGTTCACGAAATTATTTCTTTCGATTTAAAACTATCGCAAGTATACGGTTCGTTAACAAGTAATAAAGTAGAATATTAAGATCCGAATATCGTCCCACAGAGATCAAATAGTTCAATTTTATCTACCTTAGCCTTAACCGAAACGGATTTATCAAATTGAATTTAACCTAAGGAAAACCCTAATTTAGTGGAAACCCTAATTTATGAAAACCTTAATTTCGCTAAACGGATTATGAAATGAATTGAATTTGCAAACGATGTGTCCAAATGAAATTAATTACAATGTGATGATTGTAACGCAAAATTGATTGTATTCAATGAAATTAGAAAGCACTAGGATCACGAATTCTTATGTAATAATCACTTGAAACCCTAAATTCACAGTCTGACAACACATATTAATTATTGACGAATCAATACTCCTAAGTCTATCCAACATACTTTCTCGAGAAATATTGAACTTATTCTTATATACCACAAGCCTATATCTCTGTGACGGATGCATATACATAAGAATGCATGTAATTTTATGAGCAATTAACGATTCAAGCAAAGGATATAGGTATATTTATATCCCCATATTGGACCCTACGATGATTTATACATTGTCAAATTTATTTCCCTTCTCTCGAATATAAGAAATAAATTACTACACATCACATAATTGCGTGCACTCAATCATGAAAGAAAATAATGCATATAAATCATTCACATAACCAAACATGCATTTAATTGTCGAATTGTAAGAATTAAAATACAAAATTCACATTACAAAGTTCATCGATTTCCTAGTACAAGAAAATTTAGCCTAACATGGAGAAACTAAAGAAATACATGAATTCTTGAAAATAAAACATCACCGGGTATTGAAATTGCGTGAAATCTTGATGTTCTTCGTGAAATCCCTTGTCGATCTCCCTCAATTTAATCTCCAAGAAGTGTTTTGTTCTCCCCCAATGCGTCTAGGCTTTTATATCGCATTCCTATTGAGTTCCAAAAGAGTTTTAATGGAAACCGAAAACTGCAGAAACGGATCGCATAGGCTAAAAAAAAATTTGGGATTTTAGTTTCGGATGGCACCTATGCGACCGCATAGGTTCAACCTATGAGTAGGATTCCACATTCCAATGTAATTGAATCTATTATGTATTTGATGGTTTGCAACCGACCGAATTTAGCCTTTGGTAGATACATGTCTAATTCAGGTCCTGAGCACTAGGAATCGTTAAAATGGATGTTAAGGTATTTAAAGGGAACTAGTGATGTCGATTTAAAGTTTGGTGTTAATAAAAGGTGTGAAATTAAAAGGGTTCTAGACGCGGACTATGTAGGGAATGGAGATAATAGAAAATCTACTACCTCATATGTTTTTACGTTGTCTAACTCTTACATTATTTGGAAGTCACAATTACAACACATTGTTGCACTATTTACAATCGAATTAGAATATATTACTGTCACTAAAGTAATTAAAAAAACTTTGTGGTTTAGAGGTTTGCTGCATGAACTCTGCGTTCTAAATGATTATATGATAGTATATTCAGATAGTCGGTCCTCTATACATCTATGTAAAAACCCCCGTGTTTTATGAACGTACCAAGCACATTGTTGTTACACTATATTTCATTGGAGACATCATGTCACAAAAAGTGGTAAGACTTGAAAAGATACATACACACTATAATCCTTCGGACATGGGCACTAAGATGCTGATGTTGGTGAAATTTAGAAGTTACAAGAATCTTCTAAACATTAGTGAAGCATTACTAACAAATAATAATGTTTCTTTGCAGATCGTTTGACACCAAGTCAAACGACCTTCGGGCAATGATTTAACTCAGTTATGTTCTCAGTTGGCATCGGCCAAATGATTGAGCGGTAAATCGACTCCTATTGAAATGACTTGACCCAAAAGCTAATTCAGCCATTTGAAGGAACCTAATTTAATTAGTGTTTCTCATGATCCATTTCCACTTACCTAGACGGCCAATGAAAGGTAATCCACTTAGTAGCCCATTTATCACGTGTTGAGCCCTTTTGACCCATTACTAGGCCCTAATCGTTACTTATCTTAAACGCTTATTTCACTTAGTTATATGGGTCTTCTTTCTTGGCTTCTCTATGTGCGTGAAAATAGCTGACCCTCGTAAGTTTTCTCTACCCACTTTTTGTTCATTCACCTCACCATCTTCGTGGTAACTATCTTTGTGATTTTATCTTCCTTCGTGGTCTCCTAAGTGGGTAAATTTCAGCAATCTTAAGTGGACAAAGGTTGGAGGAGTGTTGGGTTGTTTTGTTTTGTAGTGTCGATCGAAAAGGAGAAATTGAGCCCGGGAAACCATCTTGGTAATCCATTATTCTGCACAACAGGAGACAACAAGTTATAGGTCTGGTCTTTCAAGTTTTATACCCCGAATAATAGCATTGAGTTCGAGAGATGCATAGCTTGTGGGGAGTGGAGATACTCGTATGGTCTCCCTATTTCCACGTTGGACCCAATCTCAGAACCTGAATCTGGAAACAAAGAATATAAATCGAAACTTTCAAACTGCCTTATGCATGCAGGGTAGAACGATTACCTCTATACTCAATAATGTAATTCTTATTCCTGTAATTATATCTGTAGATGATTTGTTGCATTTGAATGCTGATAGTGTTTAATCAATACTATTTATATTGCAAGTAAAATAAACGAACACTTGCAATTTTTTTTTGGGGTTTGTAAAAGCAGTATATATGCTTCTTGAATTAATTCTTTGCTAAATTTTCTTGTGCCCTATTTTAGTATTTTTATAGGCAATATGAGAAATTCTGTCTTCTTGTTAGGTCTGATAATGTTCCACAATTGTCATGTTTG